CCTAACGTTATACACATTACTCGGAGTAGATAATGTTAATACTGTAGTGATCACGGATGGGAGGTCATGTATTTGGCCATAGCTCCTTCAGTTTCATTGCGTCAAGCACCTTGACATGTTGACGTAAAGCAAGTTGTTTGCCAGAATGAAAACGGCAAACAACTTGTTTTACGAAAGTGCCAGTAAAACCACCTACAACCAACCAATCATCGCATTAGATGAAGTAACTTTAAACAACGCACCCAACAGTTATTCAAGTTACTTTAGACATTATTTAAGCCTGAGAAAATTTTAAACAATGCATTTAACCCTGGAATTGCCAAAAAAGGTGCAAAGCACAATACTACTCTGTTCTCGTATGACTGTCCACTTGTTTGACTTGATTAAAGTATACCGACTGTATTGACCTCTAGCAAGACATATTGACTCGGAATTTTTTTTTGTATTTTTATACAAGCACTAGTGAACACAAGAGGTCTAGTAGACCTCTTGTTCAGTGACGAAGTTTCAGTGTAGACGAATCGCATCTTACATTGAATGACGTTAACTCAGCAATGGTAGCTTCCTTGTTCATGTGTGGAAGTTTAAAATTGTTACTACCATTCTCTTCAATGGACAATTGCATCACCTTTTGCAGAGTAATGAATGTCTTAGATACTGTGTCTACTGGTAATTCAACAAAAGCATTTTCCACAGCTTCAATAAGTTCCCCGATTGAACGAGTACACTTGTGATACTGCAGACTTTGAATAGCGTTAAAAATCCTAAGTCTAAAATATTAAAGTCTGGGCTGTTTGGCGGTTGGTTCAACATGCTAACATTCGACGTTAAATGGAGCAATGAATCCTCACCGTAAGATTCCAATGGTGGTCAACCGACCATGGCCTCTTTGAGGGAGCATACAATTTGAAGCAAAATGTTTCTGAAAGCGCTGAAACTAGCCAATCAAAGATGAGATCTTGCGCTTTCTGGTGCACCAATCAGCGGCACAGAACGCTCAAAATTAGAAAATTCCCGCCAATCACAAAACAAGTGGACAGTCATACGAGAACAGAGTAGTATTCCAGTAACCGGTATACTGTAGTCCACGTGTAGTAATATTAATACTTCGTACTACGTAGTACTAACTTGATCTAGACGACCTAGGTCTAAAGGAGGCAGTATGTGAGATCTGTCCAAGATAAATTACTACTTTCAACAATTAGGGTGAGACTCAATGTCAAAGAAAGGCCAAAATCTTCGATATCTTGGCAATTTCTAAGAAATCTCCAAAAAAATGTAAAATATCTATCTGGATCCAAAAATTGGAGATTTCATATTTCGCGTATTTCGCCGAAAAATAAGAAAAGAGGTTCAGGGGACTTTTTTCTGTAAATTGACAAGAACCGAGAATCGTCGAGTTTCTTTCGAAATTCAGTTGGATCCATACAGTAAAAAATACTACGTAGTAGGTGGCAACCGTATTCTTCGAATTACTTTGAACCAAATTTTCGAAATATTAATTGGGCAAAACTTAAGATGTGATCAAGACCCTCCCTTAGAGGGACAATCACGACTAATTTAAATTACTAAGGGTGGGTCTGGATCACACCCCAAATTTTGCCCATATAATATTTCGAAAATTTGGTTCATAGTAATTCGAAGAATTTGTTCGTCATCTATTGATGACTGTCTGGATCAACTTGATTTCAAAAGAAAATCGATCATTCTCAGTTATTGCCAACTTTCAGAAGAAAAGCCCCTTGACTGTGAACCTCTTTTGTATATTTGGCGAGAAACGCGATATTTGGCAAAATTTCGAATTCTCCATATTTTTGATCCAGATTGATATTTTTTCAGTTTTTGCCGATTTCTTAGAAATCGCCAAAATATGTTATAGAAGATTTTGGCCTATTTTTTGACATCAAGACTCACCCCAAGCAGTACAATTATTTTTTCGCCTACCCTGGTCAATACCATCCACAAACCTTTCTATTTTATTCAAAATATTAATGTGTTCGTACAGTTTACATTTTAGTGTAGCCCATTTGCACTTAAATTTAAGTGCTGTATCTGATTAAACCCTTTAAATAATTGTGTAGCCGTTCGAACTGTTATGCGAGTATTTCATGCGACATTTTAAATGTATTTCGACCATTCCTCGAAGTGTAATGTGAATCAAGGTATTTTAATGGCAGAATCGAATTAACTGAGGAAAACTAAAAATCTCCGTATGACGACTATACGTATGAGCGCAGCTCCGTGACAACTTGGTTCCGTGCCACGATACATGATTGGTAGAAAACAATCACAGCCAATCAGATCCATTTTTGACAGGTAACTGGATAAAATCAAGTGGCTCGAAACTGTTTGCAGCCTATGAATATTTCCACTCTTTTAATTCATTTTCCTTCAACACTAATATGAATTTCGACATGATTTTAAGTCCTATGAACTGCATTAATTCTCCTCTTTAAGAAACACTATTACAATAGCAATTTGGAGTAAAGGAACCACTCCATCGAAGGGTCCCAAAAAGTTTCACGGAACTGCGCCCATATATTTTCTAAGAATCTCAATTACAAGCACCAAATGGGTCGGGGATGCTCTCGACCACTGTTAATATTGTCAAATCGATTCGAAACTGGGGCCCTCAGCAGAATCGAATATGTCTTATTAATAGGAGAATCGATTAAAGAACCGCCTGAGCCAATCAAATCAAATCACGTCATGTCGTATTTCTGCCAATCCAACCGTTTGACCTTCGCATTTGGCAAAACCATATATACACTAATCGTTGTATAGTATAGTGTGTACAAGATTAAATAGGATCAAATAGATTAGAAACCTATACTAGGTATGGCGAAATGACTCTCAAGTCCAAATTTGGGTGAAATGCACAATACTAACGTTCTTAGTAATATACGTACAAACTCGTCGCAAAGTAAACAAACTCACAGCCAATACTCCTGGTAGTACTACGTCGTACTATACTATAAATAGTACTACTACGTTACTACCCGTAGTATATTTCAGTAATTAATGGTATTAGCATATTTCAGTAATTAATTTCAAATGACAGGTTTCTCTATTTACAGTTAGTAAGTACTAGTACTGCGTAGTAATACCGGTACCGGTATTGTCAAGTCGATTCGAAATTGGAGTGGGGTTCTCAATCGAATGAGCAGCACCAAAGTTCAAAACTTTATCCCACAATTTCTTGAGAAACGGGTGTTTTATGGTTAATTGGGTTTGGGGATATCATTATTGTCAAGAGGGACGATAAAGGGGGTAGCACTGAGAAGGGACGACGACGAGAACACTTGTGTGGTCGAGGGTGTCACGAAGCAAGAAACAGGAGGTAGGCATGGGGTATAGGCGTGTAGCAACTTTGCGCAGAGTGTCCAAGACAAACCAAGTGTGCGGGACAGGGGAAAACCAAAAGTGGCATTCAGTCGTTTACAAACTAACTAGCTTCGTTCCTATTGGCTAAAACTCAGCCAAAGGGAAACACTGACCTGTGAGAATCAGCGCTCTTTTCCTTGTGCTAGGGCCGTGATTGGGTGAGCAATCACTAGGGTAGGGTTGCGACATGAAGAATATGCAGAACATGCAGGTATAAAGCGGCCAGTGTCTCGGCCTGTCAGAGTTGATAGACTAGGCGATAGAGTTTGGGAGAAAATAGGCGAAGACAAAAGGCGTGAACACAGGGGAGGGAAAAGCACCACTTGACAGCCACCACTTTTCTCAAGCCGAAAAATGGTCACGCCTTTGAACGGGCAGCAGG